TCCCAATCAAATCTTCTCCTTGGATCCCAATTAAGACTTATTTGCACAATCCGTTGATTATCCTTCCAAGCAAGTACCTCACAAGTTGGGTGCAGAGATGTTAGTACTACCTATATTGGAAGGTATAAGGATGTTGGTGTTGCCCTAGCCTAAAGGACTTACATGCGCAATCTTTTCATAACCGTAACCTTCTGTAACAACTGCTTGTTACGCATAGTGCCTACACTCCACGATTGGGTCTTCTTCCGGGAATTCCTATTTCCATCATTGTACTGCACTTGAACTTAACCACAGGGCTTCATATTCAATTACAGGTTCCTTATTAGGTTACAGAAGCTAAAATCTTTATAATTTTGCCTTCAGCTGAACTTGAACCAGTGACCTTGACTGTGGAGGGTATGGGAGCTTAACCGCTAAGCTATGGGACCTACACCCCTATAAATCTTCACATACTTATCTCTAATATAAACACTAAAAACTTACATTTTTATACAGATGGATCTCTTAAAAATCTTCAAATCCCAACTATCCAATCTGGTATAGGATGGATCTGTAGAAATAATACATTAATAAAATTTAATGCAGCTACACAATTATATCCAGATACAACTCGCATAGAACTTAAAGCAATTCTCTCTCTTCTAATAGCAGCTTCATCAAACACCTTCATCAATATATATATAGATAATACTACTACTATTAACAATCTACAAACATTTACCATAGCAAAACAAATACAACTTAAAAACTGGAACATAATTCATTATATCAATTATATAAAAAAATCTAAAAAGATAACTACTATTTTACATAAAATCAAATCACACTCCATCAACTTATTTTATAATCAAGCTGACTCTTTTGCAAAACATGAAACAACAAAATCTATTCTCAAACTGAATATCTCAAAATTTAATTTACCAAACTACTTCTCTTGGAATAATTATCTAATTCTCTTTAAAATCTGTATTTTTATTAAAAACATTACAACTATTCATGAACTGATAAATTGGTCAGTTTTAAAATTCTTCCAAAATATACCAAACATTAAATGGGATCTTAATTTCAAAATTATAAATTCACTTGAAAACAACTTACAAAAATACTCTTTTTATACAAAAATTTTAACTAACAACCTACCTACTATGCAAATTCTTAATATTCGCTACTCTCATCTATATACTACATCAAATTGTTCTTGCTGTTCACATACTAAGACCCTTTTTACTTATTTCTTTGTTCAAAAAATGAACTGACATCCTCCAATTACTTAACAACCTTATATACATGAAACTCTCTTTTTCTTACAAATTTCAAACATATTACCTACAATATTACTCAATATTCTTTTACAGTTCACACTTAACTTACTAACTCCTCATTATCAACATATTCTTTATACTATTACAGGCACTTATACTATTACTACATACAACAATATTAAAGAAATTGCAAATAAACAAACTAATTCCCTACTTCTAAATCTCTCTAATAATCTGCTTAATATGTACTTTCATAAACTTTGGTTTATACGTAACATATATCAACATCAATAGAAACAAGCTTAAAACATCACTTCTAAAACTAAACAAGCAAAAATAATTTTACCAATCTCTTCAAATCTATCAACTAATATTACAACTATTAATCAACCAATCAACATCTCTTCTTATATTAAAAAATAGTTTTTACAAGGCTCTTCACTAATATGTTTTCTTTAATCTCAGTAACAAACATCTTAGGTTTCCTCCAACCTATGTTTTCTTTAACCTTAGTAACAAACATCTTAGGTTTCCTCCAACCTATCCTAGCTTAAATCTAATTTGAAATAATTAGCAGATAGCATTCATAGGAAATAGGGGGTGTAATGTCACATTGGGTGCCAATTTTGTAGCACAAATGTAGTTAGAAATCTTTAATCTTGGAACTTCTGTTTTCTAAAAATGTAATAAAGTTTCTATTCTGACATTATTAAAATAAAAAAATAATAATAATAATAATAATAATAATAATAATTTATTAATCTTTTTGTGAATTTTTTAGAGCAAAGTTCTCTATTAAAAGAAAACTATATTGAAGTTCAATCAAATATAATTGATGTCAATGGTATTAATAAATATATTATATATAATTTATATATTGCAATGACATATTAATTTATTAATCTTATTGTAAATTTTTTAGAGTGAAGTTCTTTATTAATGGAAAACTATATTGAAGTTCAATCAAATATAATTGATAATGATGGTATTAATAAATATGTTTTGTATAATTTATTAATTACATGTAATTTTTATTTAATTTTTTTTTATAATCAAATTTAAAGTTATTATAATTAGCAATAGTGATAGTGATAAAGAAAATTTGAAATACGATATTAAAAGTAGATATTCCTGAACTAAAAAAGATAAATGGCATGCATCAGATAATGATAATAGTAACTTTATAAATTTAGAGCAAGTATCATTATATATTTTAAATTTATTTATTTATTTAGATGTAATATAAAATTTAATAATTTATTATACTAATAAATCTATATATGTATTAGAATTCATTGTATTGATTTGATGCTATAGATCTTGAAGATGAAAATCTTAGTAATGATAATGTATTTTCAGAAAGAATGTCTCAAGCAAGCTATACTGATACTGATACACTATATAAAGATTTGTCTTCAAATAATATATCAGCTAAAGATTTATTATCTCAAACAAGTTTTTCATCAAATAAAAGTTTATTCCAGACAAGCTTCAATAACAATTTATTATCTCAAATAAATTCTTCGCCTATTGAAAGTTCATCCTGGGTAAGCTTTAATAACCACAAATCATTAAGGGATGCTGCAATACAACATGTCAAAAAAAATCGACAAGTAATTTGAAATATTATGGAAAAATGGTATAAAACTAAACATTTATTGAATTTAAATCCAGGTGATTTTGTGAAAATTAGAGTTTCTAATATTGACAAGCAAAGAATTGATCGGTGTGTATTACCTTGTAAAATTATCCAAAAAAAACCCAATCACGATTCATATCAGGTTGGATGTGAATTTGGAATCTTAGATAAGTAGTACCCTGCAAATGAACTAGAATCACTAGGTACCAATGAATATTCAGCACTTGATATTATTCTACTTGGTGCTTTTATCTCTTTAAGAAATGCTACAACATGCCAAAATTTAACACGACCATTACATGCAACTAAAAAAAAACCAACAATTCAAGATCAAGCAGCTGAACAAACAACCGAACAAGCAATTGGACAAGTAAAAAATAAGAAATTCAAAAGTAACTGCAGTTGCAACAGAACAAACTGCAAAACTAAGAGTTGTTCATGTCATAAAAATAACAAACTACGCACAAGGCATTGTGGATGTGTATTACGAGGTGAATGCAATAATCACTAGTATTGATAGATTATTTTTCTTAATTATTATGCATTATCACTGCGTATGAATATAAATGCTGCTTAATATATATATATATTTATGAGTATAATTTATAGTGCTTGTTTTTTTTTTATGAATTTTAATCTTTTCTATAAATGCAATTTTTCTATAAATATAATTATTATTGTTTTTTTTATGATCAGTATCATAA